GTACGCGGGTACCACGCGGGTTTTGGCGCCCATTTTGGGGATTGGGGGCGGTGCGTGCATGTAGATTAGGTTCCCGAAATTCCAGCCCCGCAGCTTTTATAGGTCCTGAAATGAAAGTGCGTGACAGACGCACACACAGACACACAAACGCACAGACACACGGACACACAGGCAACCCCTCGTCAATATGAGTTTTTGCATTTCATTAATGCAAAAAACGCATAAAAACTGTTGTGAAACTGCAGATCTCGGTGCTTAGTGAATTTGAACTGCATAACTGTAAAAGCTTAAAAGTTACATAACTGCACCCAACCGACACCGCTACGTATCATATTATCAATTAACAGAAAATATTACCAAATTTTTTCAACAAAAAACACCGAGTGGAAAATGCAAAGAATATCATATCTACTGTTGTATATTGAGAGATAAGTACTAACCGCCTATACGGTGCCAGAGTGCCCAGTGTCATGATATATAAGCGTCGAATGCCATTCTGAACATCGATTCGACAGCACACCGCGCCTACGACAATATCGTTGAAATATGCTAGCTTTGCTAATTCCCCATCCGAGACAACGTCCCGGTAGAATTTGTCGTTATAGGCAAGCGGGAATACGGCCTGATTCAATCGTTTGAGTTGCTGCAAAAAAAATACAACTGTATATATCCCGAAATACCTAAATAACAATATAGCATAACAGAATAACGATATATTGTACTACAGCACTACACAAATCCAATACTACAGAGGCTTGGCTACGACGGGAGGATCAAGGTACAAATTCAGATACAGTTAATAACTTTTAAGCTTCTACAGTTATGCAATTCAAATTTACTAAGCACCACCAAGATCCAACATTCCAGGTGTGATTGATAACAGAGTGATCAACAGAGTTCTCTGGCATTTCCAGCTGCAAAGAACCCGCAAAAACGGCTAGCAAAACCAGAATTTTTTTTTTTTCACGATTATACTGGCCTGGCAGGGGATTTTATGGAATAAAATGTGCAGAATTTTTAGTTCCCCCACAAGGCCCGGTAATAAATGACTTGAAGGTTCGCCCCTTCTGCTGCTCAGAGGCTCCCGGAAGCAGGCCTAGGAGAGCAGGTCCCCAATCCCATTTCCTACTCAGAAACCGGGTAGTACTCGCCTAAGAGGATCAGGAGGCTGTGCTCATTTTTCTGTAGCAAGGATCCTGTGGGGCTGGCCTGAGGGAGAAAAATACCTTGGATCGGCTTAAGTGAACAGAACTTTCTGCCGTCTTCTCTGCTATCCATAGATCCAGTGAGATTGGTTAACAGATTCAGAACTCTGCCTGTTTCAGCGAATTGGCAGCTTTAAATTCATCCCTCACTTAAGCGGAGAACTCAGGTACGGCCCTGTGAAAATCTTGGAGCGAAAATTATTAACTTGAGAACCAGAAAAGTTAGAAAGCTGAAATTTTACGAGGGCTTTTTTTCA